CATGCTAAAGAGTTTTCTCTGAGAAATTTTCATGAGCTTCTGGGTCACAGGAAGGTAAGACAAAGATTGCTGGACTAGTGTGAGTGTGTGTGTGTGTGCCTGAATTCAGGTGTGAATGTATGTATGATGTCATCTGTAGACTTAAACTTATTGCTGAGTGCATTTTCTTGGCTTCAGAGTTTCAAGAGATAAACAACCATTATCCAATGAGATGGATGACAGTAGAGATATAGACAAAAGATAATAGACTTCACAACCCCCTCCACTATTACTTAGTATGACTGTTATACCCAGACCACTGGGCAACATCTTTTCTAAAGGCTTTATTTTAAAGGAGTACATAATTTAACTAAATCTAGCCTAAGCTGGTAATTAAATTCCCTCAAATGTATGAGATGATTTGGAGTAAACTAGACTTTAGACTCAGAAGATAGAACAGGAGCTTTCTCCAGTCTGCTTTTATTATTTGTTGGGATCATAGAATGCAAATACTAAGATGACAATTAAATATTAGTTTATATGCAAATTTCAATCAAATGTATGAGTAGAAATTTTACTTAAAAACAGCTCCAAATTATTGAGTGCTTACTGTGGACCTTGTATTGTGCAAAATAATCTTCAAAATAACACTTTGAGAGTTTGATACTATAATTTCCCAATTTTATATATTTAATTTTATTTAATATCATTTAAGATATTTAATCTTCACAACAAAACTTTGAAGTAGGTACTAAATTTTTCCCATCTTATGTATGAGAGTACTGAGGTTTGGTGATTGGCTCAAGGCCTCATAGCTGAGTGAGCATGGATTGGGGACTAGAAACGTAAGCAGTTCATCTAACATCATGTCACTTCCAGTGCTGCCAGGAACAGAGGGTTGAGAGGGCTGTGAAGCTTCCTTCTAGACTGAGTCAAAACACATTTTGGGACTGTTTAGTAACTTTATCCATAAGGATGTGGTTATCATAAATACTTAGTTCCTAAGCATTTGGGAATTGGACATCCAGTTCCTTGATTTTAATTATTAGGGGGCAAAGGCACAAAAGTGAACTGACATGGTCAGTCAGCTCCAAAGGCAATTTGTAATCATAGTCTTGTTATTAACCATTTTAATTTTTCTCCCTTCTATTGAAGTTAAAGTACAGTAACATCAGCATTTTTACCATCCTCCTCTTTTAAATAAAGAAAAACAATAATTTTAAGATCTACAATAAAGTAAGTAGGTAAGACCACAGCCAACTCCTAGGCAGTCACATAGCTACCCTTGCCTCTGGGATAGGTGTTATAATGCCAGAAAGGACAGCTCAGAGAAAGCATCCTTTATTATAAAGTGGAAGGTATATAATTAATCATTTTTAAGAAACTAGCAGAGCAGTACATTTGTTATTTATATAATAATTCACATTACAGTTATTGCATACACATTTCAATGGGCCATTCACTTCCTGAGTGTTTACTATATTGTAGTATTTAGCATAGGAAGAAAGATCTGAGGAAAAGTAATGAGGTATTTTCTTATGTCTACTTTAAGCTGTTAGTTTTACTGCATTTTGGTATATAGAGGATGATCTCATAGTTAAATCGAGCTATAAAGACTAAATGGAATTATCCCCATTGAATTGTTGTTAAATCTCCAGGGAGTGGGCAGGTCCCACAAGAAAGGAATGACAAATTGCAATGGGAATGCTGCCTGAATGCAGCCTGCTAGAGAGGTCTATGCTGGATGAAACCAAGGTCTTTTCCCCCTTGAGCCTGAAATCTCCTTTTGTAATTTATGGGTATTACCATATATTTGTTGCCTGATTTGTTGACTCCTCAAGTCTTCTACTAAACTCTGAAATCCCCAAGACTCAATAACAGTGAGAGCCTGTAAACACTGGAAAAAGACCAAAGCACCATCTCTTTCAAAAGTCCTCACTTAGCACAGCAGTGACTTAGTGACTTGGAGCAAAGTGATTTTGTAGCTGATACAGTGTCTTTGGGGAAATTTTAAGCCCTACTACGGGAATAAAAGACTTTGTATTTGTAATTAACAGTGCAAACCAGTTCTTCCAACACAGAATTCTAAGGAATAGGGAGAAAAAGACTGTGTGTATGTATTGATGTGAATTCTCACTTAAGCAAGGTGATGAAAGTAATTTGGGAGAAAAATACTGTTTATCCCCCCCCTTTATATTATGAAGGTTAAAACTAAAGCTTGTTAACCTATAAAAACAGTTTTCTTGTTTTTTTTCCCAAGTACATTAATGCTAAATGGATTCTCTTTGTTTCATATTAACAATATCACCAATTTGAGGATTAAAATATACTTGCAAGGTTTTGGAAAACTTGGCAAGTGATTTAGTAGTTTATATTCAACAAAATGTTTATTAAAGTTTTATTTAATGGTTCTCTCAGAAAAGGAGATGATGATTCTGCCAATATTTAGAAATGCATGTTTTTTCTCCTTGGTCTTCGTTATTTCTCCTTTTCTGCACTGTGTGCTCAGGGACTTATCTAGTATATCTCATCATTAAAATATTGTCTAATGCATAATGTCTATGGAGATTTCTTCTGTAAATGTTGCTATAGAGATCTTATTTACATCTAAATCTCAGGCTCTCATGCTTTCAAAGAGCTCCAGTATATGAGCAATGAAGGTGAGCAATGTTTACCAAGCTTCTTGTTTTCAAATTGCTCTGTCAATTCTTAGCACAGTGGCAGGTAGTGCTGCCTGCCATTCAGATATGTTGATGGCCATGACACTAATCTAAGCTAAACTCCTAGTATATGATCCCACTGCATTAGAGGATAGAACTCAATGAACTGGTACACTATAAAATATTTCCTGGGAATAATATTGGGGAATGGGTGGGCATAGTATGCTTTACATGGCCCTGACCTAAACTCAAGAAAACCATCACTAGCAATCTAGTGTTTAACTTAATTAGAAGATGGGCAACCTAAGCACATGTGGGTGGCAGAATTGTCACGAGTCAAAGAATGTGTAAATAATGGCAGGGTCTCCTAGAGCCACAGCCAGGGAACTAAACCCTACTTAGCACCATCATTACTCTTCAGAACTAACAGAGTCAAACATTTAGCTCAAAACTTTTAAAATGTTGACTAACTTTAACCCAAGTATTATTTCCCCCAAGCAACCCTGACTCACTCCAGGGAATTCAATTGCCCCATTAAAAAAATGAATTAACTTATGGAACTCCCAAATTGAAAATATCCATTATAGTTTATACTTATCAAAAAATAAACATAAAGATCATTAAAATGTCAGTGTGACCAGATAGTTCAATGACAAAATTGAAAAGAGAGTTAGATTTTTCCTGTCAATGATAGAGTGGCCTACTCTTATCATGGGTTTTAAAAGTATGTCAGTTTAAGGGACTTCTGCTTCTGGGAAGATGAAGTAGTGTGATTTTCCTTATTTCTACCACTAAGTGCAACTTAAAAACCCTAGACATCATGTGAAAAATAAACCTAATAAGAATATGAATTCAGTGAGATTAAAGCCAGTATATATAGTGATCTTGAGACCCAAAGTAAAACAGTGGTAAATTCCCTAGTTTTTATTTTGGCCTTAACTATCCTAAACTTGTTGCTGAAGAAGCTAGCAACCCAGAGAGAACAATTGGCACAGAAAAAAAAATTACCATTAGAAGTCTGTTCTCTGTAATCAAAGGACCAGGAAAAGGAAGCATAGTAAGTCAGAACACCTTTAGATAACAACTGTTCTATGCCAGCCAAACCTCATAGAAAAAACTATGGTCCCACCACTACGTACTCATGCTATAACAGATGCCCAGAACCCCCAACTAGGTGTCAGAGATGACTAAATAAAGAGCCTGGGTGTTGTTAATCCTTGACAGGATGTAGCGATCCTCTCCCTGGAGTATCAGTGGAGACCAAATATCTAGCATAGCCTGGACTTATAACCCTATACAGCAGTAATGAAGAACCCCACCCAATCCTTTTAGGGTTAACATCAAAGATGGCTTAGTAGAGAGTCAGGACTTTTACTACAGTCCAATGATAACAAGAAAAGAAAGTTATCATAGACAGAGAGGAACATTATACATGGATAAAGTGGCCAATCCATTCAGAAGACATAGCAATCTCTACTGTGTATGTACCAAACCACAAGGCTATACCATAAGTGATGTAAAAACTGCTAGAACTTGAAGGAGAAATAGACTACTCCAAAACTCTTTCCCTGGCAGGTGTAGCTCAGTGGATTGAGCGTGTGCTTGTGAACCAAAACACTGCTGGTTTGATACCCAATCAGGGAACATGCCTGAATTGCAGGTCAGGTCTCCAGTACACAAGAAGCAAACACACATTGATGTTTCCCTCTCCTTCTCTTTCCCTTCCCCCCTCTCTAAAAATAAATAAATAAAATCTTAAAAAAAAGAAATAGACTACTCCACAATTATAGATTAAAATAGCATTAGTGAGTACAAATCATGTGTAAGGCACTCTGGTGGATGTTGTGAATGCACTAGTGACAAAAAAATAAGACAGGCCAAGCCCTCATGAAATTCATGGTCTGTTGGAGAATACAAATACTCATTAATTCAAAATTACTTAACTTTCCAGCATGGTAAATGCTGAACAGGGAATCTCAAAAACACCCGAAGTTTAACCTCTTGTTCAAAATGCCCTGTTTTAAGTATCAACAATAAGAATTTAACACTGTGTCTGGTTCTATTGTTTCATTTACCATAGGTAATTAAAGAGAATCATGTCAGCTCAGTGCAGACAGCAGAACTTACCTGCAACTTCTGCACAACTTCACAGCCAGGAATATGAAATTGTCCAGGCACCTCTAGTGTATTTGTTTCTCCCAAATATGCAATCCACACTGACCCAATCCCTGCATCTCATCCTGCTTGCCATGGAAGGCTTATGGGACCTCTAAAATGGTGTTATAAACATATTGTGAGAAGTACCAAGGGTGGGATATGTACAAGGTTAGAAACTGTCAAGCTGTAAAGATGTTGACTTACCACGATGTAAATCTGATGCTTTCGTCTTTTAGCAAGGTCGATTATGTTGACTCCATTGTAGTAGAGGTTTTCAATACATCCCTGGAAGTTTTTCTTTAAAAAGGTGCCAGGTTTGCCTGGTACTGGAATTCCTCCAAAACTAAGCTTTATGAGGAGAAAAAAAAAAGATGAAACAAAACAAAGTAAAACAACTTAGTTATAAGTTCTGAAGGAACAGGAAAGGAAAGTAAGTGAATTTTAGTAGATTCAGTTGTATGTATGAACCAAGTGGCTCAACTATTTATAGATGCTACTTGATTACACATGTAAAAGGATACTGATTACCCATGTAAAAACAACCATAACTGATTGCTTTTTAAGAGTTTACTTTAAAAAACTACTCACTTCCTTTCTGAACTTTTTAAATACTAAATAAAACAGTATTTTAGAGAGGAAGAGAAAAATAAAATAAAATAGACATTTTTATATTTATCTCTGATCCTAACTTCAGCGAGAATATGGCCAAACCAAAGACAAGGAATCAACAAAATATACCTCTATTCAGCTACTGCATAATATCAAGAAACTTATGTGCACAGTCACAAATTATTTTTGGTAAATATGAAAAATAGGAGACATTTCAAATAGCTCATACTGTTTTTCAAAGGAAATAATCAAGAATTAGTATGATGGAATCTCCCTTATTTGTCAACAGTGGTGTTAAATATTTTGATAAAATGGAAAATGAGAATATGTTTATTAAAAATGTGAGAGTTATAATTGGATTTAAAGTATGAGGATTTAAAGTATTTCAAGAAATTATGCTAACAATGGCCTATGGTGATATAGCACTTTGACTAAGTCTGTTCAGCTAAGAGGTAGGGGTGCTGGACCTTCAATCCTTCAGTCTAAGGCCCCATTTTTCATCCCTTATGCACACTGTCTTGCCTCTAGTTCCTATTTCTGGTTCAAAAGAGTAACACTCTCAATGAATTAGGCCTCATGCTAAGGTGAACTATGTGTTATAGTTTGCCAGATACTTTCCCATTTTTTATTTTTATTTTTATTTTACTGTTTTTTAAATTTTATTGTTGTTCAGGTACTGTTGTATATCCCCTTACCTCTCCCCCTCACCCCAGTAACCTCCACCTCCCTTCCCTGATCCTGAACCCCTTGGTTTTGTCAATGTGTCCTTTATAGTTGTTCCTGAAAACTCTCTTCCCCCATTATCCTTTCCCACCTCCCCTCTGGTTATTCTCAATTTGTTCTTAATTTCAATGTCTTTGGTTATATTTTGCTTGTTTGTTTTGTAGATTAGGTTCCACTTAAAGGTGAAATCATATGGTATCTGTCTTCCACTACCAGGCTTATTTCACTTAGCATAATGCTCTCCGGTTCCATCCATGCTCCAGTGCCCAAAGGGTAAGAGCTCTTTCTTTCTTCCAGCTGTGTAGTATTCCACCGGGTAGTTGTGCCATAGTTTTTTGATCCATTCATTTACTGATGGGCACTTGGGTTGCTTCTAGCACTTGGCTTTTGTAAATTGTGCTGCTATGAACATTCGGGTGCATAGGTTCTTTTGGATTGGTGTTTCAGGGTTCTTAGAATATAATCGCAACAGTGGAATTTCTGGGACAAAAAAGTAGTTTCATTTTTAGTTTTCTGAGGAAATTCCATACTGTTTTCCACAGTGTCTGCTCCAGTCTGCATTCTTACCAACAGTACACTAGAGTTCCCTTTTCTCCACATTTCTAACACTTGTCATTTGTTATTTTGTTTATGATCACCATTCTCACTGGTGTGCAGTGGTATCTCATTGTGGTTTTAATTTACATCTTTCTGATAGCTAGTGATGCTGAGCATCTTTTCATATGTCTCTGGGCCCTCTGTATTTCCTTCTTGGAGAAGTGTCTGTTTAGATCTTTTGCCCACTTTTTAATTGGGTTTTATGTCTTCTTGGAGTGGACTCCTGTGAGTTCTTTACATATTCTGGAGATAATTCCTTGTGTGAGGTATTATTGGCAAATATGTTTTCCCATACAGTTGGTTCTCTTTTCACTTTAATGTTGTTTTCTTTGCCAGTACAGAAACTTTTTATTTTGATGAGATCTCATTTGTTTACTCTTTCCTTTGCATCCCTTGCTCTAGGGGACATATTGGTGAAAATATTGCTGCATGGAATATCTGAGATTTTCCTGCCTTTGTTTTCCTGCAGTACTTTCATAGAGTCATGACTTATATTTAAGCCTTTTATCCACATGAGATCAAAGAAGAAATCAAAAAGTATCTGAAAACAAATTAAAATGAACTCACAACAGTCCAAAACTTATGGGACACCGCAAAGGCTGTCCTGAGAGGGAAGTTTGTACTGATACAGGCCTACCTAAAAAAGATAGAAACATTTCAAACAAGCAACCTAACCCTACGTCTACAAAAACTTGAGAAACAACAACAAAGACAGCCGAAAGCAAGTAGAAGGAAGGAAATAACCAAGATCAGAGCAGAATTAAATGACATATAGACTAAAACCACAATTCTGAGGATCCATAAATCCAGGAGCTGGTTCTTTTAAAAGATAACTAAAACTTATAAGCCTTTAAGCAGGCTCATCAAGGAAAAAAGAGACAGGACCCAAATAAACACAATCAGAAATGAAAGAGGAGAGATTACAATGAATACCACAGAATTACAAAGGATTGTAAGAAATCACTATGAAGAACTATATGCCAAGAAATTTGAAAACCTAGAAGAAATGGACAATTTTCTAGAAACATATAATCTTCAAAAACTGAATGAAGAAGCAGAAGGCCTCAACAGACTAATGGAAGCTGATGGAATTGAAGCTGTTATCAAAAAACTCTCAGCACACAAAAGCCTTGGACCAGACGGTTTCACAGGTGAATTTTACAAAGTATTTAATGAAGAGCTACTTTCCCATTTTTAAAACTGAAAGTGCCACATCCCCAGGATACCCTTAGTCTTACACAAACTGCCACACACCATTTGATGAGTTCTGTAGTCTGCTTGTGGGGAAGGAAAGGATGGGGGTGTACAATACAGCAGCAACAACCACCACTATTTTCTCAAAAGCATAATACAGCTTCTCCTACTTTTTCTGCTAGAGCAACATTATGTTCTCAAGCTACAGAGCAGATTTTACACTTGAATACAGGTTGAAACTTTATTGGCTCTAGCTAGACTTCTTTTTTATTATTGTTAGTGTTGCTCTTGGCCCAAATCTGATCAACTACTAGCCTATGGTTGCTGTCTCTAAATAGGTATCTTTTTACAGACTCACAAAAATCAGTTGCTGACACAGCCTGATTGGTTCAACACATATTTATAATTTTTTTGTCTGAATAAAAGTACAATATTTTTACCTTAGGTTATTTAGACAATGGGTTAAATCATGTGTATTTCAACATTCAAGCAAAGAAGTCATTGCTTCTTTGCTTGAATGTTGAATTCATTGCTAAATTCAGTCTCCCTCATATAGCCAAGCAAGAGGCATTTCTGCTAAAAACTGATACTTTAGAGAGCTTCATTGGGGTTATCCTCAGGTTTCATCCTGCCTCACAGGAGAGAGTGTTTGGAGCCAAGGGGGTGAGGACTTTTTAAACCTTTGTCTTTGTCCACAGCATCTCAGCACTCCCTACCTAAACAGCTCTGAAACTGCTGTGAGGCCCCACACTATTTGTTTTCTTCCTAGTCTGTCCTCTTGTTGGCAGACAATGGGCCTAAGGGCTGCAGCATGTCCACAGAGCAGCTGCTTACAGTGTGAACAGGGCTTGGGCATGAGGGATATATTTGACAAGGTACATCTGTCAAAGTAAAGAGAAGAGAATATTTTATTCAAAAGTTTGATAGCTTATTTTTAACTCTTTAAATATTTAAATGTTTAATATGTGGGACTCCATTTGCACACTTGCCTCAGGACCTACAAGCATGCAACTGGAGGGAGCCTGGCTAACTTTATGCTGTTCTACTGATGATTACAATAATTTAGCCCAAATTCAGCAAGTCTCCAATAGATAATAGATAATTAAAACATATTCTACCACCTTGATAATAATGAGAACATGAAGTTTATTTTTTTAGTTCTTGTTAATAAAAATGATGTTTTTGTGTATGTAATGCTGATAATGAAATATTCCCTCACTCATGCTCTACACACTTAGTTTACTTTCCATATGTATTTAAGAGCAGTCTTTGTGTTCCATTTCACTGCTATAAAACTTGAGCAAACATAAAATTATCAAGTCCATAAATCACATTCTAAATTTAAAACTAGAAATAAATAATGGCCCTGAGTAATGTAATTTCAAGACTTGAATTTATATAGAAGTCAGGATAAGGGAAAAAACCTGCATGTATCTTGAGGGATTAGCCCTCCTTCAGAAAGAAAGCTTGGTTACCAGAAGGATCCCCAGTCCAATGGCCAAACAGACCTGGGTTCAAATCCTGTGTTTCTTACTCTGGCTTTTAGGGAATAGGGATGGGTTATGTATCAGTCTCCTTTGTCTTGGTTTTATGTAGGTGATATAGGACATAATAATCTCCCTCACAAGGCTGCTTAAGGGATTAAACAAAATCACAAAATGCCGTTCAAAGTAAGAACCTTTCTTTCTTCCATTTTTTCCATTTTACTTTCACTTTGCATCTGCTCATTTTTCCCTTATTTGATTTCTTCTGTTTATTTTCCCCTTTGTAGGCCTTCTATGTGAGCTTAGCAACATATTTTCAAAAGAAAAAAAAGATCATTAATAGTTATACTACCACATGATCTGGAAGACAGTTTCCCTAGTGATCTTCAGTTATTTCAGTCACCAAATAAATAAGCTGAATTGTGTCTGGCCAGTCCTTAATCATGTGTGAGTTCTAACAGAGACAATATCAACTAAAGTAAGGGTGGCAGAAAGGAGTGACCCCTGAGCATGAGAGAACTATTAGGAATTTCTTATGAAAGGAAGGGCATAAATAGTTATCTTTTTAAAAATATTTTATTTATTTATTTTTAGACAGAGGGGAAGGGAAGGAGAAAGAGAAAGAGAGAAACATCAATGTGTGGTTGCCTCTCATATGCCCCCTACTGGGGACCCAGACATGTGCCCTGACTGGGAATCAACCAGCAACCCTTTGGTTCGCAGGCCGTGCTCAATCCACTG